AAAAAAAAAAAAAAAAAAAAAAAAAAAAACACAACAACTTGAATTCCAACAATATACAATCAAATCAACATATTACGATTGTACAAATAACGATAATAATCTACGAACGCGTGTTTTTACACATGAAACCTCAAAAAAGATACATTCCAAGTATTAACTAATCGGAAATTACAATGGACAAAACAAAATAGTCTGTAAATCATGTGACTCACATCAACAAATCTTCAATTAACTTAAAATCAATGGGGTTTAACTCATTGCAGTGCACAAAGCAAGATAATTCAAAATAAATTAAACATGTTTGTCCAATAAAAAAGTTAGCAATATTGACTAATATTAAAACTTCATGCGAGAGAATCGACACAAACACATAAAAACGGTCTATTTAACAACAATACTAACAAAATAAACCTAAAAAGCTAGACCATTCTACCACATAATCAAGCAAGATTCCAAAAAACATTCTCTACACTAAATACAACTCAATGTTCTCATTGCGTACCCAAACTACTGAAAGGAAATAGACAAGGAATTAGCGTAACTATGCAATGGAATCAAGTAAAAGGTGGTTCAAGTTTTTTTCTTAATTTTAAATATACTAACTTTTAAAGTTTATGATTTGTTGATTTCTAGTCTAATTTTGTTTTTGGTTTCTAATTTGTATTATCTTGTGGTTTATGTCAAATTTATAAAGGATTTATATATGATTTTATTTTGTATGTCCTATTTTTGTAATAGTTTTTAAAAAATGTATTAAACGTGTAAAATGGCATGTAATCAGATCAAGGAAATAAATAGCTCGCTAAAGTTGTCGCTATTTGAGAAATAGCTTTTTTTGGCAGCGTGCCGTTATTTGTATTCATGTGTAATTTAGCCACTAAATCCCGCTAAATCTCCGTTATAGCTCCGCTATAGCTACAATGCCATAAACATTTTAGCCCGCTATTTAAAACCTTGAATCAGATAAAATTCATTTTGGATGCTTTTCCGTACAGTTGTAACCTATTGTTGATCTTGAGGTTGAAACCATGAGGGAGAAAGAGAGTTCAATGATAATGAATGACATCCAAAATTTCTGTGTTTTATTAAAATGACCGTTAAAATTATTGTTATGGAAAGGGAAAAATGATAAACGGTAACCCACAGAACACCGCCATCAAGTGGCCCGTCACGCCGCATCAAGTGGGCTTGTCAATTTCTGGCCCAAGACAAATAGTTTTAGGCAGGCCGAAAAATACCAGTTGGTTTTTGGTATTGGTTGTCTCTCTTTTTCTTTGGGAAAGTTTTGTGGGTGCTACATGATTTGGAAGTAATTGCAACAATACAATTAATACCAATTTAATTATGGATATACCTAATCCACTAAAAGTAATATTATTTATGCCTATTATCAGTTACAAGTTGTGGACAGGCCCGTCTTAGGGGGGGGGGAAGCTGGTGTAACGCCCAAGGGCCCATGAGGCTGGGGAGCCCATGAGTAGACTGTATATACATGTATAGTAGATGTATTGGCCAATTCAAGTAATACTGTAGTAATTAATTTAACCTCTAAGCCCAATAACATCAACAGAATCAATTGATAGACGCGTGTCCTTCAGGTCCGGGTAACAAATCTCCCCTCGCCCCGGCTCGCTCGTCCGACCCGGCTTGCTTTTTTTTTTTAAAGAAAAATATTTATATATAAGGTAAATTGGTCTCATTTCTCTATCTCAAACTTCCTCCTCGTCTCGCCTCGGACATCTCCGGCGCCTCGCCTGAGACTGTGAGTCGCCTCCGACACTGCCTTCGGGCCCTTAGTGTCTTGCTTGCCCAAGGGCCCTCGAAATTGTTGAGACGACCCTGGTTGTGGAACAAACATTTCATGTTTATAGGGCACGATTTCAGGAAGTGATAATGAGAGGAAATCAGATTTGAATTTGAAAAAATAATCTTCAATAATAAACAAGGAAAAGAAATAAACACGACTTCCATAAATTTGAAAAACACCTTCTTCAGGCGCAACATCGAGAAAAAAAAAAGTCTTGTGGTGTCGAAGCCGAGAAGTTTTTCGGTATATACCGAAAATATACTCGACATATACTCTGGAGATGGTAGAAGCCGCGTCATATACCGAAAATATACTCGACATATACTCGGGAGATGGTGAAGGTGGGTGGTGAGAAGCGATATCGAGATATCGTGTTCTTTCTGGAGATGGTGAAGGTTGGCGGTGAGAAGCCAGGAAGTTTTTTGTTACAGAGATGTTGAGATATCGTGTATTAAATTTGTCCATAAATTCTGTAACTTCCCTTAATTATCTGATTATCTGATATAATTTAAACAGTTACCCTTTAGGTATATTAGCAATAATTTAGCTTAGTTTGGTAATTATATAAAATAGTACAACACCCGTGTATTACACGAGTGCTTGTTGAAAAATTATTCTTAAATTTTAAAATTAATGAGAAAACTATATTAAATTTAGTTTTTTTTTTTAAAAAAAAATATATTACTATATATTTTAGAATGATATGTGTTACTTATGACTTACATGTGTTATATTATATTAGTTTTTATAACTTATATCATATAAACACTTGAAATATAAATATATTAGTTGATAAATAATTTTATTTTCAAATTAATATTAAAAATAATTTTATTATTGTTATAAAGATAAATATAAATTATTTTTTTTATACATACAATATGGATGTTAAATCGAAGCTCATCAAAAGAAGATTAATTTAATATATTACATATGTAAAACTGATAGGAAATACAAAAGTTATTAACTTTTAAAATATATATACAATTCAATAGTTATAATAAGGAATGATATTAAAATACAATTAATACATGTACCATGACCATAAATAATCAACATATTTACGGTAATCCTAACGTAAGGGTGCAATTTCCTCTTTTTCTTTTCTAATTTATTGAGAGCCCGCAAGTTTGATCCCATTTTGACGGTTATACAAAAGGGAAAATTTTATGTATGCACAGCGTTTCATCAATAATTGCAACATGACGAAGTCTATTATTTTAATTTCTTTTTTTTCTTTGTACAATGAAGACGGCCAACTGCCTTAAGCTAGTACTTGGCGGGGATACGACACCCCAGAAATATCGTGATCAAGCCAGGTACCCACCCCAGCCGGAGGGGAGACCAATCGGTGTAATCCAGGCGGATAGGACACCGTCATATTCGCCAAATGATCGGCGGCAAAATTTGTTTCCCTATAAATATGGTGAATATGAACACTCCAATCTCGATTGAGTAGATCCCGAATTGCTCTAATCATAGCCTCATGAGGTCCCAGATCTCCGGCCGCCTCGCAAACCATTCCTTTCACGCAAAGACTATCAATCTCGGCCACCACCTTCCTGCACCCCAAATCCCATGCCAACATAAGTCCTTGAAATAGCCCCCATAGCTCGGCTCCCGTGATAGTACACCAACCAATGTTGAATACAAACCCGACCATCCATCGCCCAAGACCATCACGAATCAAATCCCCCGCACAACTCAAGCCTGAATTCTGAAAAATGGCACCATCAGAATTTACTTTAACCCACCCTTCACTCGGAAGAGACCACCGGACCATTCGAGTTACATGCACAACCGCGCCGACACGAATATAGTCTCCAAGAGCCCGAGAATAGTTTTCCGTCAACTTTAACACCTCCATTCGCCGATCCTCGACACCGAGGGATTTATGCTGAAAAATTCGCTCGTTTCTCCACAGCCATGCACGCCAAACGGTGATCGCAAATGTGCTATTCCATCTCTCGCT